GAGGGGTGAAGGGTGATGGAGAGTAAGATAATTTATATAGCAACTTGTAAAGGCCCAGACTACAGAACAACTAAAACAAAAATATCAGCTTGTTGTCTACGCTATGACCAGAGCTAATCGAGCTTTATATAAAACCTGTGCATGGATGATGCTTTGGCAAAGAGGGTGCAAGGGGTGCCAAATTCCTTCTCGAGGCCATTTCTTAGAAAGCCAGGAAATGAAAACAAAATAAGATAGTAACATGGTTGTGTATAAGTGTCACTAAAACAAGACTACAGACTATAGTGCCTTGCTGCTGTAGCTCCCTCTAGTGATTATACCCACTTGGTTGTCTAAAAGCCGCAATCCAAATGTAAAAACGTTTTGTCTTTTGATTATACAAGATACGGTGGTGTGATCATACGAAACGTCGACCTATAGAAACTCCTAGACTTTTGCGTCGTTAAGAGCGGTGTGCTTTTGATGGACTTGTATTGTATTGTGTTGAGCCGAAACAAGTTTTTATTTTTATATTTTGACGGCTTTGCTTGTGTTGTTTGCTCACAAGAAATTGAAAAGCAAACTCTTGGCAGTAGGCGACATCAATTTCTTGTGGCCATTCGGCAAATTGTGAATGGAATACTAAGGAGTGACCTTGCTGTTGAGGCTAATTACGATCAACTTGAAACTGCCACCAACGCACACGAAATTATCATAAACAAAAATAATGCGAATACGGAGAAAAGGACGAGAGGAAACACACGAAATTAACAATATTGCTGTTTGTTTCCATATTCACTGGTTCATGGATGGGAAAATGTAATGTGAATACAAACCTAGTTTGCTGGGGTTTTTTACTGACGTACAGGATGCAAGAAGTATGCCTTTGAAACGCGAATTAAAAACAAAACTAGAAAATGAAAGTCAATATTATAAAGATCTTTAATATTTTTGGTGAATCACCAGGTGGTCTTAAACTTTGGTCGTAGAATATTGTTGATGTTGTGAATGGGCAAGTGAGCATTACGATTTTCAATACGTGCTACGATAAGTTTTAGTTAATGAACTGCAACATTACAGACTAAAGAAGCTGTTTGCGTGGGATTGGTTGCATTGCAGAAGGAAATGTATGTTCAACAGACCGAATGATTTGTGATAGATTACAGCGACAGTGGCGTCAGAACAAATCTCTTCAGAATGTTCTTGTTGTGCAAGTACCTGAAGGAGAGCAGCTAAGCTCGAAATGTAGTACATTTTAAACATTTTATCGTTTTTAACCTTTTAGAGTTTTATCCTGATTAATTAAACCAAGAAGATAAAAATACATATTCCGACTTTATTCGTTCATTTCAATATCCGAGGTGACTGAAGCCGAATATTGAATGAGCGGAATATTGAATCAGCGGCATTAGCGGAGTGTTTCATTATAAAGAATTTTAGATTCGACTACGAGATTCTAAAGTTGTCTATTAATATTGAGGGATGCGGCCTCACTTTTGTCGACAAAATGGGCGTGGTTTTCTGACAACATGCTGTGTTATCTTGTTATATATATGAAATAAGAAGTTGATGTGAAACGAGGATGTAGCAAAACAAATCCAGTACACAAAGAACTCATTATTTTACTAAAATTATTAAACCGTTTTCGTATAACTACATAGGTGATTATTGAAAATTTTCCACGCTGATTGGTTGCAGTTGAGGTGATTATAACGCGATAATCACCTAAGCGATTTTCGAAATGACGAGGAAATTTTTATTTTTATTGAAATATACTTAGGTACATAGCATACATCAGCAAAAATAAATAGTTTCTACCTTTAGTAGAAGCACTTGAAATCCAGCTTTAAAATCAACTGACATTAACGGCGACGCGGCGGAAGAGGGTCGCCGTGAATGTCAGTTGATTTTAAAGCTGGATTTCAAGTGCTTCTACTAAAGGTATAAACTACTTATTTGTGCTGATGCATGCTATGTACCTAAGTATATTTCCTTCAACGATAAGTATTGATTAGTGATACATTTTAGTGTAAAAATTCAGAATACTTATAAGCTAATCGTTAACATTATTATTTTGAAATCGATACCGCAGGGGGTAATTAAGTATGCCAAGCATTTAAATTTAAATCGCACAGTGTGTTTGGGCTACCTATGCTTTAACCCCTGGTCTTTGCTACTTCAATATATATTGCTTCTTCTCAGTTCCATTCACCGCTCACTGGTCGCTGCGAGTAATCACTGTGCTTAATATAATTTGTGCTGTTTACTGTAGTTCTATTTGCTTTTAATGCCCGCAGCAATCCCTACCTTGCAGGTACCCTAGTAAAAGACTATATATGCACACTGAATCGTACCGCGTCACTTGGTACCGGTTGTACGAGGGCCATTGTATGGCTGCCTCGTAAGTCGTACCCAGGCTCTTTGGTTTCTTCATAGTTATTTTCTTTCATAGCATCAAGCCCGCGCGGGACGACACGCGAGGGAGAAAAACTGAAAATTCGAATTAATCCGCGCGTCCCCATGCCAAGGCTAAGCAGCAGTGACGCAAGCCGACGGCTAATTTTATAAAGGTTTAAAATGACTATCCATTTGATATCTCTATCCGGCTCGGAGAGTAAGTCCACATCTACACTGGCTACCGCAGGTGAAACCACAGGCCACACATCAGAACATCCGAAGGTGCGTTTAGGTGCGGTTAGGGAAACTGAAAAGTGGATTGAGTACAGTGAGTCGAACATTATGCAGTCGAACCTCTCCTTACGAACACTTCTCTAATACGGACACTTTACAGACATCTCTCCAATACCGCCACTTCTCCATCAGGGCCATGTCCAACAAACTTATTATGTGTTTTTAGTAAAGTAACATCTGTAATACAAATCCTCTCCAGGATACTAAATCTCGTCCCCAGAGAGAAAATCCATAGTGATAATTGTATATGTCATGTAATATCCTTGCGTTATTCGTTTCGTTCCAAAACTGTGATTCGCATACAGCATATATAACTGAGATGTACAATGTAATAGTACGTTAGTGGGCACTGATGTATAGACCTGTTTCTCAAACTTTCATTGAAGTTTCGAAAGTGCGTTTCGTAAACCTTAAAACGGACACCTCTTCGCCTGCCGCTTCGATGTCGTTATTGGGGAGGCTTGATCGTATTTTAATGACAATATTTTTTTTATTTAATTTTGGTCTTCCACATTAATTATTTTATTTTAATAATTAACTGACGTAAATTGGAAGAGCACAAAAAAGTGCACTAACTTTTTACTATAACAGGACGAATTTAAACGAACTTCTTTAAAGTAGCTTCATGTATTTCTTTCTTGTGTTTCTTTCAGGACTGGGGACCAGCGTTCGCAAGTCAAGGAATATGGCAAGTGTCGTTTCAGTTAGAATGACTTCATGTCTTAATTATTTTATAAAAATGTTTGCTTATTTTCTGTCACTCAGTAATAGACAGGTATAGAGTAGAATTTACAAACACACACTTTTGATTGATGCATGAGCACTCAGTGGCGTAACGGAGGAAGAGGTGTGGGGGCCCCTGTTGACTGTTGTCATTGTTTGACTGAGATATTCATATTATATTGAATATTTATAGAATGTCCTGGAAAATTCCATGTCTATAACAATAACAATAACAATAACAATAACCATATCTGTCTCCAACACATGTAACAACTAATAAGAATAACTTTTGTTTTATTTGAGATGGAATAAAAAAATCAGCTACCGTTGTCGATGGAGGTTTAATTCTTTACCTACATTTTTTACGTTTTCTAATTTTCTGGGCGATAGGCCGTGGCTGATGGGCCCCTAACTGTCGGGGGCCCTTAGTTTTTGAACAAACCCTACCTAATGAGCGTTACGCCACTGTGAGCACTACTTTGTTCTCTTGGACGTTTCAGCACTGTAGTAAACGTGCTCTAATTAGGTAGCATTTATGAATTAATGAGAGCAGTGGAACCTTGGAAACCTAGAGTCGCTGCATGAAATCGCATTTCCAGCGCTCTTGGGAATAATATTACACGGATATTAAAATCTTCAAAAATCCTCTACCCATGTTTTTACAACGCTCTCTTATAGTTATGGTTTCTGTAACACATGAATTCGTGGTTGTCTTTGCACTGCTGTTTCCTAGCAAATTGCTCAAACGAACAACACCAATATGGTTATACAGTATTATGTAATACATACAGCACGAACGGCCGTGTTGTATCAGATATACTAACTCGAGCCGAAGGCCAGGGCGAACGTGATTTCGTTTCAGACCAGAAGTGATATGCGTAATGAAACGATATTTTTAGTCGCATGTGTAGATCAAAACT